AACCCAACTCTGAATAACTTTGTAATTCATGCTGTTTTAATAAAGTGAAAATTAAAAAAAATAAAAAGTAATAGAAATCCTAAAGGGTGTGGGAAGAAAAAACTAAAAAACTTAAAATATTTCTGGAAAGTAGAACTTAGAAAAGCTGCTCATTTTTTCCAAGGATTAGCAACTTTTATTTAAGCTAATATAAGTACAAATGAGATGTATTAATTAGAATAACTTATCAACAGTTTTGCTAATATAAAATTTATAATAAATGTGTTCCAGATCTACTTTAAAATCTACCATGCAGTGCCTTAAATCATGTTTAAGTAGTTCTAATAAAACATATTTTCATTAATACAAATGATGCTTGATTAATAAGAAATTATTTTTCTTTTAGAAGCATTCAATTATAAGTAAAATTACTGATAATCATGTAATATTCAAGACTTTTACCATAAAATTATAAATATTATTAATATTATGATATGAATTCCTTAAATCTTAAGCAAATATAAATTAATGTATTGACATTTTGATAGAATGATGGGATATATTATAGAATTGCTGATTTATAATTTAAGAGGTTTAGTTTTTTATTTTAAGAGAAAACAACAGGGGATAGTGATGGTACAGCTCATAGGGCGCTTGTCTTGCATGGGCCCATATGGTCCCCTGAGCACTGCCAGGAGTAATTCCTGAATGCAAATCCAGGAGTAAGTCTTGCATATCATCAGTCAAATTTGCCAAAACCAAAAAAAAGAAAAAAGAAACTGCATATATATTAAAAAAATTGTCCACCTCTAAAATCACAAATACATACTCTTCTTCAGTATACATGTAACTTTCTCCAAATAGGTCATAAGCTTGGAAGCAATTGAAATATCCATAAAATTAAAAAAAAAAATAAAATTCCATATCTTTTCATACCACACAGCTGTGAAGTAGAAAAAAATCTTTAAGATAAAGTTGGGGAAAAAAATCAAACAACTGAAAAATAAACAATATTGTATTAGATAAAAATTGTATCAAAAGAGCAAATCAGGGGCTGGAGAGATAGCACAGCAGGTAGGGTATTTCCCTTGCACGCAGCTGACCAGGGCTTGACTCCCAGCTTCCCATATGGTCCTCTGAGCACCACCAGGAGTAACTCCTGATTACAGAGCCAGGAGTAAAACCCTGTGCATCACCAGGTATGACCCAAAAAGAAAAAAAAAAGAGCAAATCAAAGAAGAAATAGATTACCCAAGCAAATATGAATGAACTCGCAAACTATCAGAATATTTGGGATATAACAAAAGCATTAGTAAGCTGGAAGTTCATAGCAATCCAGAATCACATCAGAAAAAAAAGATAAAATATCAAATGTTACTACTATAGGGTTAGAGTTAGGGTAAGCACTGGGTTAGGGTAAATATTCCTTAGGTTTAGAATTCAGCTTTGTCTGTTTTTAAAGTTAAGTATCAATGTTACTTATTGACAATTGTTAAATTTAGTCTAAATGGTGTATGTTCAGTTCTAGGCCAGGGTAAGTTTACAGCAAGTTTAGGATTAGGATCAGTGAAAGAGTAAGGGTTATTGTTAGCTTTGCAATTGGATTTCTATTAGGTTTACTCTAATGAGCTAAGAGATAAAAATCAATGCTATTTATAGGACAGTTGTTAAATTTAGAGTTCTCAGTATGTCTAGAACACTACCGGGTAAGGTTTGCAATAGGTTTAGGACTTAGTTTTGACTGTTTTTAAAGTTAAATATCAAAATTCTTCAAAAAGTTAAACATCAATGTTATTTATAGAGTTGTTATTAAATTTAGACTAGTTGAGGGACTTAGACAAAGGCGAAGTAAGGTATGGACAGGTTTAAGGTTAAAATCAGCAATGGACCTAGGATCAGAGTTAGGTTTTGTAATTGGATTTGGGTTTGATTTGATTGTACAAGTTAAAAATCAATGTTATTCAAAAGCAACCAGTGCTGGCATTGATGTGGCAAGAAAGGGACCCTCCTTCACTGCTGGTGGGAATGCCAACTGGTCGAACCCTTTTGGAAAATAGTATGAACGATTCTCAAAAAATTAGAATTTTATATACCATTAGACCCAGCAATACAACTCCTGGGACTATATCCGAGAGAGGCAAAAAAGTATAGTCGAAGTGACATCTGTACTTGTTTGTTCATTGCAGCATTCTTTACAATAGCCAGAATCTGAAAAAACCTGAGTGCCCAAGAACAGATGACTGGTTAAAGAAACTCTGGTACATATACACAATGGAGTACTATGTAGCTGTTAGAAAAGATGAAGTAATGAAATTTACATACAAGTGGTACTACATAGAAAGTATCATGTTAAGCAAAATGAATCAGAAAGAACGGGATAGACACAGAAAGATTGCATTCATCTGGGGAAAATAAAGTAACAAAATGGGAGACTAACACCCAGGAGTGGCCGAGATTAGTACCAGGATTTTTGCTCCATGATGTGGAGGCCAGCCACACGTGCTAGGGGAAAAGGCAGCTCAGACAGAGAAGGGAGCACCAAATAAAAGGTGTTAAGAGGATCCTCCCAGGATGGGAGAAGCATGCTGAAAGTAGACTATAGACCAAGCATGATTGCCACTCAATGCCTCTCTTGCAAACCACAGGACCTAAAAGGAGAGAGAGAGAACAAAAGGGAATGCCCTGCCACAGAGGCCCGGTGGGATGGGGGAGACGGGGGGGTGGGAGGGATTCTGGGACCCATGGTGGTGGAGGATGTGTGCTGGTGGAGAGATGGGTATTCGATCATTGTATAACTGAAACCCAAGCGCAAAAATTTGTAAGTCTATAACTGTACCTCATGATGTTTCACTAATAAAAATAATCAATGTTATTTTCTTGGTCTTTGTTAAATTTAGGCTGATAGATATGGTCAGGTCACTTAGGATAAGGCAACATAGGATTAGTATAAAGTTAAGATATGAATTAAGCATAGGGTTAGTTTTTAAGTAGGTTTGGTGTTTGACTTTTTCTGTTTTTAAAGCTAAATATCAACGTTAATTATATAGGCTTTAATAAATTTAGATTAACTGGTTTGTTTATGCTTCACTGTATCACTATATCACTTGTCATTCCATTGTTCATCGATTTCCTCAAGCAGGGACCAGTAACATCTCCATTCATCCTAGCCCTTAGATTTTAGCAAGTGCCACATTGGAAGCTCTTTCAGGGTCCAGGGAATGAGACCCATCATTGTTACTGCATTTTGGCATATTGAATACACCGCAGAGAGCTTGCCAGACTCTGCCTTGTGGGCAGGATACTCTTGGTAGTTTGCCAGTTTCTCCAAGAGCAAGAACTAGACAATAAGAGGTCACTGCACACTTCTGGGAGCTTGGTTTTATAGTCTCTGGGTCTTGGCCATTGATGGAATTACACAGCGCCAGGGACAGTTGATGGGTGTAACACCTAGATACTGGAGCATGGGGGATCTGGGTAGAGGAGGCCCAGCCCCGATACGAGCAGCCTTGTAGATCTCAGCCCGGGGTCCCGCACATCTGGGTTTTTCTGCCAGTTCCTTCATGCATGAGACTCATCTGAGCTTGTAGAGAGTGGTCTTAAGCATGGCTGTGGCTGGTACTGGAGGTTGTCAGCTGCGGGAGCTCTGCTTAGCTAGGGTAAAATTACTATAGGGTTAGGTAAGCATTGGGGTTAGGGCTAGGGTTAGGTTTGTTCGTTTTCATTTTGTTTTGTTTATTTTAGGGCCACAATAATCAATGCTTAGGAGTTACTTCTGGCTCTGCACTCAAAAATTACTCCTGGTGGTGCATGAAGGAAGATAAGAGAAGACAGGGATTGAACTCAGGTTGAACGGAGGGGAGACAAGTGTTCTACCAGTTGTAACTATCTCTCCAGCCCCTACCTACGTTTAGGGTTAGGTTTTCCAGTGGGTTTAGGATTTAGCTTTTTGTTGTTGTTGTTATTGTTAAGTATTAGGCAGAGCTGGAGTAAAGTTGATAGAGCATTTGCCTTATACGTGACTCATCTGGCTTCAATCCCCAGCATCCCAAATGATCTCCAAAGTGCCACCAGGAGTAATTAATTGAAAACTGGATAGATACATGCAAAGTAATATGATTGGACCTATATTTCACACGTTGCATAAAAATAATATCAAAGGCCTTGACATTAGATCAGATTCCATAAGACATATTGCAGAAAATATAGAAATATTGCTCCAGAATTTGTATCTCAAAGATGTCTCACAACATGATTGTATTGGCAAAGACAACAGACACAAAAATAAACAAATGGACATCAAATTAAAATGTTTTCACTTGGCAAATGAAACATGAGCTAAAATTAAGACTCAACGAGAGGAAATATGTGCACATAATCTGTCAAAAATGCTTACTTTTCAAGATACACAAAGCACAAAAATTATCATTAAATAATCCAATAATCCCATTAAAATTGGGGATATTTTGATATAGAAATAAACCCTTATTCATGGAATGCCTCAAGTGATTTTTAATTCTTTGATATTAATTATTTGGAAGGCAAGTAACAAATATTATAAATACTTGTTATAATAACAAAGCAAGTAAAAACCAATATAAATATAAATTTATATTTTATATATAAATTATAAATTATATATTATTATATATTATTATATTTATAATTTTATAAATATAAATTTTTCTGAAATTAGCAAATCAAAATTTATATTTTATATATAAATCAAATATATATCAAATATGTCAAAAAATATCAAATATATAAAGCCAATCAAAATTTATATTTTATATATAAATTATATATTATATATTATTATATATATTATATTTATAATTTTATAAATATAAATTTTTTCTGGAATTAGCAAATCAAAGAATTTTTGTTCATTGGCCCTACTTTTCAGGTGTTTTTATTTTTTATAGAGAGATGCTAATAGAAAGAAAGAGAAAGATTCAGATAACAGAAATGATTTGTATAGAACTTAGATACATTTGGGTCTAAAAATATAAATTCTTTGCAGAATACTTTTCCAGGTCAGAAGCATGATGATAGGGTGTTCACACTTTTGTGTGACATGCTCATGCCTTAAATCTTGTTATTAATTTGGCATATAACCCATCTGACATGACAAAAAAAATTAAATGCTATGCAAACGAATTCTTCCATAGGTTTGAAATACAGAAATTTTGTGAAAAGAGATTTCCTCTGTGATTCAGAGTGATTCCCTTGGAGCTTCAACAGAAAAAGTTTAGAGAAATGTTTGCTCTAGATGTGAGATTTGAACATCATCTGACTCAGAATATTTAAGTAATAATGGCAGCAAAAGCCTCTTCAATAAAGGTACATCTTGACTGTGATATGAAATACTCACAGGAGAAAGAGTGAACTGGAAAGGAACCAAGAGTCTAATCTCCTTTCTTCTTCCCAGATAAAAATATCTAGATAGGTGGGGGAGGGAATTTATTCCAAACTATGCAACTAATAACATTAATTAAGCACTCTCCTGTAAATTTGTAGTCCTACTCTCACTTCTTTTTCCAAACAATCTCATGGATAATCACAGAGGGGAGGATGCTGATTCAGATGGTAACTCCATCATTTGTGAGCTAGATAACAGTAGCATGGTCTTTAACCAATCTATGATTATTTGTTCTTTTATAAAATTCAGGGAATAATTTTAGTGATAATAAAACAATGCTATAAGTAAATAAATTAACACATTAATTCCATTCAAAAAGACATTTCAAATTATTTATTAAATATTATTTTAACCATCTGGTATCCATTTTGAGTTTTTCATGGATATGGAATCACTGAGAGTAGACTTTCTCTGCAAAGCTTACCACAGGTGGAAAAAAAGAGGAAAGAAAAGGATTTCCTATATAAAGGTTAACGTCCTGTTGAATTATCGGTGTCTAAAAACATTCTAGGAAGCATTTTTAATATTGTTTTCATAATGTCTAAAGCAATGGTAATAGTGTACCAACTTATTTTCTCTAACGGGTATGAGAATCAGTTTTCAAAGTAGTAATTTCAATAAGGTAACTATATTGTGCACACATAAATTCTCATTCACAGCTCACTCCACACTCCTTCTTGACCCTGTGGCATCCCTTGGAGGATGTGGAAATGTCAAACAGCAGCTCGATGTCATTATCCCTGACAGATATTTTTTCCATTTACAGTAATCTTAGTAAAGGTCCCAGCTTGCACCCAGATGCATCACATGTCCATCAACACAGTGCAACATGTATCTTAGTTTAAAACATAGAAGAGAAATTGTGAATAGGTCATATTTAAATTTTTCTTCCTATACTGACAAATGAGACAGGAGTCCTGTGGGTGTAAATTTGATACTTCCATGAATAAAAAATGAATTTATTATGATTAGTGCTTTCACCCAGAATATGACATTAATTTACAATGATTGATGGGCTACTTAAAATCAAGTAGTAACCTTTTCCTAAGGTTGCTGGGTGACCTCACATCTACTTCATTAGTAATATTCCCTGAACTGTATTTATGTAAATGGGGAAAAAGTATCACAGGGCAACTTTTATCCCTTACAGCCATGTACAACTTTAAATGTAACTACATTTTATACATATTGAAATACAATTTTACTTCATTCCAGAAATATTTGCCTCCACTCTTGGAAAATGAGCACATTTTATGCTCAAAAAGCATCATTAAAATATGTAATCATTAAATTTAAACTATAACATAAATGCGATTTATGCCCCTTTTCTTAGAAAACACTATTGTCAGTTCCACCTTGCATAAATAAATGGTAAGTCTTGATGACATGAAAATTTTCATATTTTAATTATCCTATATATTTATAAAAAGACTTTATTTAATATATATTCTTATGACTTATTTAGATTTAGATATCTGAACAAAGATAATTCTTCACCTTATATATACATTGTTGATTACTGTTTAGAAACTGCTGAACAGTAAGAAAATAAGTTTAAATATTTTAAAATATGGATTTATATGTACAGTTACACACAGATAACTAACTGGAAAGCAATAATCTATTGGGTCATATTTTTTCTATTTATTTTTAAAATGAGTTTCTTCTCCAAACCTAGATTTTTATCTACTCATATTATATTACTATGTATTCACCTTTATAATATGATTTTAATTCAATAAAATGAAGATTACATGCAAAGTAAATAAGACATAACAGTCTGAAACATGGCACATAAGTTATCAACAAGGTCAAAACAACTAGCATACTTGAATTATGTTCCGCCTCAAATCATACAAATTTATATAACCAATATAGCCAGTTCAATTGCAGTATTATAGGTTTAGATTTTGTAAGTAAGCTGGAGAAACAAATCTATCGAAGATAAAAGGAGCAACTTGCCATTTGGTATTCCCAAATTTTGAGTTAAATAGTATTATTTATTTGTTTTTGACATATATGGAAGTTCTCAGGGCTTACTACTAGCTCTGCTCTCAAGGATCACTTCTGGGGAGAAGGCATATGGGAACCTGGGACTGAAACTTCCTCAGATGCATGTATGGCAAATGCCCTGCCTGCTCTACCATCTCTCCAGCCACCCAAAAACATATTTTATCTTTAGAAAATTATGTGGATTATGCACTGGAAATAGCCACTCCATCCATCATGCCTTTGAGAAGACATTAAATATTGTGGTAACTCAGTTGCTTTTTATTTAAAATTATAATATCTATCTCATTCCTAAGACTTTCATTAAAAAGTCAAATAATATGTTGTATACTGGAGTATTTTTTAATACAAAGCACTATACCAACATTATGAAACAAGATTCATTCTTTTTCTCTTGTATAACCTAGTAATCAAATTCATGAAACACAATGATGATTTATTTGAGTTAATACTTGTTAATAGATTTGTATTTAACTTAGAGGTATGCAAATATAAAGATGGTTATGAGTAAAGGATGGTTATAAGTAAAGATGGTTATGAGTAAAGGGCTGGAGTGATAGCACAGTGGGTAGGGCGCTTGCCTTGCAAGTGTCCAACATGGCCGACCCAAGTTCGATTCCTCCACCCCTCTCAGAGAGCCCAGCAAGCTACCAAGAGTATCTCGCCCGCACAGCAAAGCCTGGCAAGCTACCCGTGAGGTATTCAATATGCCAAACACAGTAACAATTGTCACAATGGAGACGTTACTGGGCCCGCTTGAGCAAATCAATGAACAACGGGAGGACAGTGACAGTGATGAGTAAAGGAAATTTTTAAGCACACAGATATTGCATCAATTCATATAAGATAGGCAGCAATAAATTATAAATAAAATTAGTAATAGCCTATGAAAATATAGATTTTAAAAACAGGAAAAAATGAAGAACTATATAATTAATACTATGTTGTAAAGAATGTTGAATTTGGGATTGGACAGGAAGTGTAGTTTATAGGGTGCTTGCCTTACATTCAGAAGAACAAGATTTGATTCCCAGCATCCCATAGGGTTCCCTGAACACCACCAGGAGTAATTCCTGAGTGCAAATGCAGAGTAACCCCTGAGCATCACCAGATGTGAACCAAAAAGTAAACTAAACAAAGAAAGGGATTTGGGAAGAGATAACAAGATGGAATAATATAGCACTGTAGCACTGTAGCACTGTCCTGTTGTTCACCGAATTGCTCTAGTGGGTCCAGTAACATCTCCATTGTGAGTCTTATTGTTACTGTTTTTGGCATATTGAATATGTCACGGGTAGCTTGCCAGGCTTTACTGTGCAGGCAGAATACTCTCGGTAGCTTGCCAGGCTCTCCGAGAGGGACAGAGTAATTGCTGAGTCGTTCTCATGCAAGGACAATGCCCTACCTGCTATCACTTCAGCCTGAAATAATTATAGTCTGGCTTAACAGGAGAATTTTGTCCAGAACTCTTCTGTTACTGGGCAAATATCCATACTAAAAACTGAATTAAGTAGTCTTGTCAGAGTTTCAGAAAAGACATCATCGAGTCCAGACCATGTCCACCTACTGGATGTGGAGAGAAGCCTGCTGTTGAATTACAAGATGTTACAGAAGTGGAGATATAAGTCAGGTATGATTGAAGATCATACCCGATTAGAACGGGAATAGATTTAAGATTCAAATTCCAAAGCTATTCTGGAAAGGAGGAGGTGGCACACTCTGGTTTCCCAGACACTCAGCTCTGTTTTCATATTCATTGAACGGGGATTCAAGTACGATGAGTCAGAACTTAAATCAGAACTTAAATAAAAGCTATGATCGGGTTTTTTCCTATGGCACTGGTGGTCCTGCTAGCAGCTGCCATTCTTGTGGTAAGACTCATCCACCCCAGGTCAATTAGTCAAGTCAATATAATCCAACACAACTCAGCACATTATAAGCTGTAACAAGCAGACTCTGTCATCTAAAGCATCTTCAACTAGCAAGACATGGATAATGAAATCCTGATGGCAAGTCTGGTTATGAAAGTGCTAGCTTCATCCATTTACACATGGGATTTTGCAAAGAGGACAGATAAAGAACTACCAGGCTTTGTCAAATAAGATTACCCAACTGACACCCACACCCTAAATATAAGTACTTAGTCATGGTATACTTAAACACCAATCCCTAATTACTATTGGATCTTCTAGTCTTTAACTTCATAACTGAACCATAGAGCAGGTCTACTAAACCTCAGCATCATGGCTGATACAAATCAATTGTGACCATAATTCTCGGTGGATATCCAGATACACATAATCTCAGAACTGCTGACACATTAAATTTTGTGAGAATAAGTGCCCCTGTGCCCCTAATTCTTACTCTGGAGAACCTAGCAGGCTACCGAAAGTATCCTGCTACCGAAAGTATCCTGCCTGCACAGCAGAGTCTGGCAAACTCCCCATGCTGTATTCAATATGCCAAAAACCAGTAACAATGAGGGGTTTCATTCTCCTGACCCTGAAAGAGCCTTGAATATGGCACTTTCTAAAATCTCAGGGCCAGGACGAAGGAGACGTAACTGGTGCCTGCTTGAGGAATTCAATGAACAACAGTATGACAGTGATACAGTGAAGTGCCTCTTTGGGACACTGTTATATGAATATACACCCCTGCCTTCACATACCATCAATCATAGTAAAGACAGAATTTGC